GCTCTGTATGCAGTGGACCAACGGCATTGTACATCGGCATGAAAATTCACTCTGTATGACTGTAAACATTTCAAGTGACTTTGACAAAGCAAATGTATATAAAATGGAAAATGTCCGTACTGTCAGAAATCTGTCACTGCCATTCCAGAAAATAATCTCATCAGATTGGGAGAAATACAAATACCTTGACGGACTTCCTATCGGAGATATAACTGAACGACCATTGTTACTTATTGGGCAAGATAATATCCGTCTGAGCGTTGCAAGACAGGTAGTTCAAGGACCTGAGCATCTACCAATTGCGACTAAGACAAACCTTGGATGGATATTACATGGCAGTAGCACACAAAGACAGCCAAAAGAACAATTCACCTTCCATATTTGCCACGATCAAGAAAGTTCAATGGACGATAACCTCCACCAGATCGTTAGAAACTCATTTTCCACAGAATCTTTTGGAGTATCACCGATCACAAAGACAATGTTGAACAAAGCCGAGAACAGAGCTATGGAAGTTATGCAACGGACGGCAAGACGAATAGAAGGAAGATATGAGATAGGACTTCTTTGGAAAAATGATCACATCCAGTTACCCATCAGTAAAACGACCGCTTTTCGTCGATTGTTATGCGTGGAGAAGCAGATGGAAAAAGACTCTAATTTCAAACAAAGGTATTGTGAAAACATCAAGAAATACGTCGAGAAGGGATACGCACGAAAACTGGAACCAAAAGAAATTGACACAAATATTCCTAGGTGTTGGTATTTGCCACATTTTGGTGTAATCAGCCCAAGTAAGCCAGATAAGCTGAGATTTGTTTTCGATGCCGCTTCGAAATCGAACGGAACCAGCTTGAATGATAATTTGCTAGTTGGCCCAGACCTATTACAATCTTTGGTGATAATTTTACTCAAATTTCGAGAAAGGAAGATAGCTTTCAGTAGCGACGTTAGGGAGATGTTTCATCAAGTAAGGATAAGGAAGGAAGATCAAAGTTCACAACGGTTCTTGTGGAGAGATGGAGATTCAAATCAGCCAATTGATGTCTACGAAATGCAAGTCATGATTTTTGGCGCAACTTGTTCACCGACATGTGCTCAATTTATTAAAAATTTGAACGCTCAAGAATGTACAAAGTCAGAAAGAATCATTGAAGCAATCGTGAGAAAACATTATGTCGACGATTATCTCGACTGTACAGACACAGAAGAGGAAGCACTCGAGATAATACATGAAGTAAGCCGTGTTCAGAAAATGGGAGGTTTCGAGCTCACTAAGTGGACTTCTAATTCTAAAGTCGTTCTGGATTCCCTCTCTGCAAGCGAAGAATTCTCAAAAGACCTCAACTTGGACGTTGACAATATACAAAGGGTTTTGGGACTTTTTTGGGATGCCAAAAATGACAATTTCATCTTCCAAAGGTTGAAGTTAACTGACGAAACTGATAGACCCACCAAAAGATATGTACTCAAGACAGTTATGTCAATTTTTGACCCGTTGGGATTGATCGTGAATTTCTCTGTCAGGGGAAGGATGATAATCCAAGACATCTGGAGGACTGGTATCGGGTGGGACGACAGTTTGGACTCTGAAACCTTCATTATGTGGAAATATTGGCTTGTTGACTTGAAGCGAATCGATAAATTGATAATTCCAAGATGTTACTCACTTATCATTCCTTCTGCCGACAGTATACAACTGCACGTTTTCTGTGATGGAAGTAAAAAAGCATTTGCCTCAGTTGCGTACTTGAGAGTGCTGAAACAGGAAAATATTCAAATCGCGCTGGTCATGGCTAAAGCAAGAGTAGCGCCGACTAAACCAATTTCTATACCGAGACTGGAACTACAAGCTGCGGTCATGGGTAGCCGATTAGCAAACACCCTGATTGAAACACTTGGAATCAAAATTGACAAAACATACTTTTGGACAGACTCCTCGACAGTTCTATTTTGGATCAAGAATGATGGCAGACGCTTAGGACAATTTGAATCGCATCGGGTTGGAGAGATACAAGAGGCGACTAATGTTTGCGATTGGAATTGGGTACCATCAAAATCAAATGTTGCTGATCTCGCAACCAGGACATACCATAATGACGGCAGTAACCCCACAAATTTTGAAAGATGGTTCGATGGTCCTGAATTTCTTTTGGAAAAAGATGAAACGAAATGGCCAACTAAAAAGTTCTCGTGTGAACATATTCCTGGAGAAAATATAGACAGTTCATTGAACAATGAAGTGACGCTCTTCATGAATCAAGTTTATATCGGCCTGCCTGACATCAACAGATTTTCGTCATATCTAAAACTCATCAGGGTCACTGCATGGATGAAGAGATATGTAGAACAGCTGAAAAACAGAATCAGAAAAATTCCAGGACCAACTGAACTAATATTGACAACACACGAGATGAAAGAAGCGGAAAAACTATGGATTCGCAATTGCCAATCTGAGTCGTTTCCTGAGGAATTGAAAGAATTGAAGAAAGATAGACCATTGAATATACACAGCAGACTACACCAACTCACACCTGCTCTCGAAGATGGTATCATCGTGTTGAGTGGAAGAACCGACCTCACGACGTTTCTGGCAGAGCGAACAAGACGGCCGTATATCCTTCCATCTAAGCACCGATTTACTATTCTTCTCATTCAGTATCATCATGAAAAATATTTACATCAAGGCCTCGAAACTGTACTGAATGCGTTGAGACAGAAATTCTGGATACTCGATGGAAGAGCAGCGGTTAGGTCAGTATTTGCAAAATGTCTGAAGTGCCGTATTAGGAAGGCAAAACCCGAATTGCCACTGATGGGACAAATACCTGCTTTCCGACTAACACCCAGTGCACGACCATTTACCTATACCGGTATCGATTATTTTGGTCCACTAAAAGTAACCATTGGAAGACGTACAGAAAAAAGATGGGGAGTTATCTTCACGTGCATGTCCATTAGAGCTGTACACCTAGAAATTGCACATTCTTTGACCACCGACTCGGCTATTATGGCTATAAGACGTATGATTTCCAGAAGAGGTCCTCCAAGGCAGATTATTTCAGACAACGGGACGAACTTTCGTGGAGCGGCAGAAGAACTCAAAAAATCGGTTAGAGACTTGGATAAAGCAAAAATATCAGAATTCCTCTGTATGAAAGATATTGAATGGGTATTTTTACCTCCTGGCGCTGCACATATGGCTGGATCATGGGAAAGGCTAATTGGAAGCGTTAAAAGATGTCTTCATGCTATTCTGAATGGGCACAGCTTGAAGGATGAAACCTTATCAACATTTTTTAGTGAGATTGAGTTAATTTTGAACAGCAGACCCCTAACCCACGTATCGATAGATCCGACTGATTTTGAAGCACTCACTCCAAATCACTGGTTGTTGGGTTCAAGTTGTGGTGACAAACCATTAGGAAAATTTGATGGAAAGTTTTTGCGAAAGGAATGGCGTAAAACTCAACAAATGGCTGACTCATTTTGGAAAAGGTGGGTCAAGGAATTTGTTCTAAAAAATTTGTTCATTAACCAAGCGCACTAAATGGACACATGAGACAGAATCATTAAAGGAAAATGATATTGTAATCATTGTGGATGAAACTGCACCTCGAAACCTTTGGAGAATGGGCAAAGTGGAGAACATTATACTTGGTCCCGATGGAAGAGTAAGAGTGGCCGACGTGAAGACCCAGTATGGTATTTTTCGACGACCAGTCTCCAAACTATGTCGAATGAATATAACCCAGAGTGAAGAAACAATCCATCAAGATGTTCCTCACTAGGGGGGAGAATGTTGTTGTTCATAATGATTTTATTTTTATAACATTCTGTAGTTATCTTGGAAACGGGATCAATATGTATTGTCAGATAATTAAATAATTTTGAAAAGTCATACAGTCCATTAAAATATCAAGAAAAGATATATTTCTGACCGACTGAATTGACAGACATAATGAAAAAGGCGCTTGGGAAAGAATTGACAAGGTGAGCAGAAAAGCTGTCTGAAAATTTTGAAACATTCTGAAAAGTAAAATAAGATGAAGTGGACTTCAATCTAGGCCAAAGAGTAAACCTTTTTTAGTAAAATTGAGAGAAAAGAGTTTCCAATCAAGACTTAAGAGTCCTAGTGTCCATACTGGAACTTCCAGTTTGGACACTAGGCCTGGATTGAAGTCCACTTCATCTTATTTTACTTTTCAGAATGTTTCAAAATTTTCAGACAGCTTTTCTGCTCACCTTGTCAATTCTTTCCCAAGCGCCTTTTTCATTATGCCACTTGTCTACTTCATACACATGTCAACTAAGTCATAGACATTGACACTCAGTCATTGTCAACATTTTACTAAGGTTAAAAATTATCAAACATCCTCCAGAATAAATAAGGTTAAGGTCCCTCGTGCTATTTCTGGACTTGAACAAAACAATCTCAACATGTATTTTTGAAAAATTTTACAATAACCCATTAGGGAACATATTTGTTAAATGTATGTCTGTTCATAATCCCGTTTGTACCATAATGATGTCTGTGATCACTAATTTTTGGACCTTTTTGTAAATACTTGACGAGTAAGTAATCTACCTTTTTAGATTTGTTTTTGAAATTTCATAAATGTTACTTACCTGCAGGTATAGCACTGATGATGGCTTTTTAGCCGAAAGCGCTTTGCGATTCATAATAAAAAAAATTTTACACGAAATACAAAATCTCTTCATTCTATTGATCAGTTACGTGTATGCAGCTAGTAAAAATCTTCACATTGGTATTGAAGACGTTTAAACTACGCGACTTTTGTCTAACTTGATCAATTTTCTATTTTTTATCGTTTAGGAAATAGCAATACTGTCCCTATGAAATCGGCGGGACCCTGTATATAGTTTTTAACATTTTCGATCAACTTGCAATTTTGCCGCTGCCGCATCTTCATTATGTGTTTTCACTGAACATCTTCTGAGAAATCCATCAATCTTCTAACCCAACTCTGTTGCTTCAGGTGGATGACGAAGAGAGCGACTACGACACCGACAAAGACAAGAAGATGCAGAACGCCAGCCTCAGCCCGGGCAGTAACTCGCTGTCCAACAAAAGGAAGAAGAAGACGCGGACGGTGTTCTCGCGCTCGCAGGTGTTCCAGCTCGAATCGACCTTCGACATGAAGAGGTATCTGTCTTCCTCGGAGAGGGCGGGGCTAGCCGCCAGCCTGCATCTGACTGAAACACAGGTAATGATTATTATGTTGTGAATTACCCAATTAAACTCACCACCCAATTAGAGTCTCAATATTTAATCTGAGATGGTTATAACTGCTGGTGGGCACACTGGTCAACTGTTTTGTTAAACTAACTGCCGACAGAAAATATTGATAAAACTACAGAAGAAAGGAAGCCATCTCTCAGCATATCTGTAGATCTGAGGAAAGCTTTCGACGCCGTTTGTCATCCTGAACCTTTGACTTCTTTAGACACAATTGGATTCAGAGGGACTAAATATGAACTAATGAAAAGTTAAACATGTTGGAATAGGAATTTCTTCTAGTGATACAATGACAGTCGAATATAGAGTCGAACAGGGAACGCTATAAGATCCAATTTTTGTTATTCTACTCAAAATATCGTATCACGTTCCTTCGATCACAATTTGCATATAAATCCCAAGATATACTTGCTCTTGATATTTGGCGATAAAACGCCGTCGTCTGAAGCAGAAAAGAGATTGACCATTAAAGTTGGTAACGTCACTCTAGCGTCCACAAAGGTTGCAAAAAATCTTGGTCTGTACATGGATCCAGGTATGAAATTTTCGGATCATATCAGCAAATGTTTGCAGAAATCTTATAGCGCTTTGAAACTATTATATTCCAATCGATATAACTTGCATAATAGTTTGAAGAAAATGCTCTGCGATCAATTAATATTATCTCAGTTCAACTATTGTGACGTGGTATACGGTAACCATATTAATAATTTCGACGCTTGCAGGATTCAGGAAGTTCAAAACAACTGTTGTAGATATATACTAAACTTAAGAAAATATGATCACGTGTCTGAGAATATTGCAAAATCAGGCTGGCTGAAAATAAAATCTCGTCGTTATTTACATTTCGCTGCGTTCTGTCATAAAATCATTTCAACGAAGACACCATCTTATCTTTATGAGAAATTGAGATTTCGCGGTCAACTCCATAATGTTAATATTCGTGCCCAGTATTATATTCATATTCCAGCACACCATACAAAGAAATTCGAATCTTCCTTTGCCTACGAAGCTCCTCATATTTATAATAATTTAGATGACCATCTGAAGAGAATGTCAGTAAATTCATTTGAGGCAAATTTAGAAAAAATCCTTCTAGCCAAACAATTGACCGTCAACTCATTGTAAAAATTTGAAAAGCTCAATGAATCTATATCCCTCCTCTAGCCAAAAAGATTATCCTGAACTCATAATAGAAAGCCATATCTCATAATATATCTATCTCTCACATTCGTCAAGAATTTTTCTTCTTCTGATTTTTTTTATGTTTTCAATACAGAGAATAGTTCTGATTACGTTGAATGCTACAATGATATCTATGTTCATTTCTATAATTGTTAGGTTAGACGAATGGAAACATTTACATTCGCAGATGACATCGCTATATTCCACCAAAAACTCTTAACAATTTTAGCAAAACATTTTACGTACCTTTCACCTCATATCTGAAGTATTTCTCTGCCTATAAGTACCTTTGCCCACAGAAATGGAATATATGAAATAACTTCAAATAACATGAAATATTTCGGAATTTCTATCGACACCTGATGAAATAGGAAACACATATAAATTTTGTGATTTAGAAACTGAGACAACTTCTGAAGCTAGATTGTCCAGATTCTCGTTGGTTTTTTCTGAGTCATCCTTTTCTGCCTTCGTCTCCAAATCATTCAAATTATTGATTCATTAGCTATTTGTATTCGGTATTATAATTGTTATCATCATTTTTCATTGTTTTATTATATAAGAAATTCTAGATGTCATTAGAGAAATTTAAAGCTTATAATTGTACGTAATATATGAATGTGTATAAGTCTCTATACAGTGAGGACCGTCCGTCGCCCCCCCTGTAACTTCTTTATTCTACATATTACAAAAAAATGTTGAATACATAAAATGTAGGGTTTCATTCGATCTCTTTAATGGTTCAAGTTTCATTCATACAGAGTGTCTCTAAAAAGCACGGTGACTTAGAAATTAATTTTTTTGAATGAGACACCCTGTATTTCATTGCATTATTACATTCAACGTTGAATTCTGAACAAGTTTGATATATGGTTTTCTATCAAAAAAGTTGATAGTTTTGGACTTATGAACACTTGTAAATAATTATTTCGACTGCTTTTGTGATCCATTTGTTACGATTTTCTCATTGAACTGGCTTCAGGAGAAATGTATATATGGTACAAAGATCATCGATATCTGTTCATCATTTTGTCATTTTCATTGATATGCACCATCTAACAAAATAGCCATTTGTCAGATGTTTTCCAAAATCCAGAATCTAGCATCATGGTAATTCATCCTATAATCTTCATCTATAAGGTGTTCAGTCAGGCTACATGATTTCAAATTCCTTTTACAATCACTTCTGTGTGAAGTGATTCTGTCATTGAGTATTCTACATGTTTGACCAATATACTAAATTACAATCATTGCATGGAATTTCATAAATAATAATTGATCTGTTCTGGACTGGTACAAGAGTTTTGGATATATTAGGAAGGTGAAATATTGTTTGAAACAAATATCAAATTCGCGGAAACGATTTCCAATCATGGTTTTGATCCAGTTGTATATTTGACTTCTGATTCCTTTACCTCACATTGGCTTATTGAACGCTTTTTTATGCCCAGGAGAGCTGCCAGCGCAATTTCTCTATGATCTAAGGAATTGCTGAACAAGATTGTTCAGTGCTGAATCTGTTAATTTGCCTGTTTGATATGCATACTGATGGGGATTTAGGAGATGTTTCTTCAGATTACCCCCGCTAATTTGCCTGTCCAGAATTATTTTTAGAGTTTTCAATAATATTGAAATATTATAAATCAGTGACAGTGGTAGATATTGATCAAAATTCTCTGTCAGGGGCTTACTCTCATGATATACCTCATGAGAATATTGGTGATTTATCAAGCTGGTATGGATATTTCATTAGTTAGGTGAGTGTATGGACTGACGTCAATGTAGAGTGTGTGGCATATACCAAAAATTCATGAATTCGACTTCTGAATTCGAAAATATAACGCATCGTTCACTACAATTCACAAAAATGGGAAGGATAAAAATGTTAAGTCGAATGAACTTTTCATAATGCCTGGAAACGAGCCTAGAAACTTGGTTGAAAATTTGGAAAATCAAGATTTCATTATCTTTCAAATTTTGCGAGTGCTTCATGCATCAGCAGCAAAAGTCGTCCGGCTTCGGAACTGACGAGAACAGTTGCTTGGTTCGGCTAGAGGCTTGTACATCTCTGCGACTAAAAGATGGCTGTAGCCTCATCCTTCTCCAAGATTTTGCTGACTGTTTCACTTCATTATTCTTGTTATCAAAGTAGATATGCAGTTCAATAGCACATGTTTTCATCAACAAATGTTCGTACCCACGAATATCTATGCAGTAATTGGAATTAAATTTGATTGCAGGTGAAGATCTGGTTCCAAAACCGAAGAAACAAATGGAAGCGTCAACTAGCCGCCGAACTCGAAGCCGCCAACATGGCGCACGCTGCCCAACGCCTAGTGCGCGTGCCCATTCTCTACCACGAGTCTGCCTCCGCTCCCCTGCGCCACCCCTTCGACCAGAGCCACCCCCTCGGGGGGCTGCCCCACCCGCTGGACTCGAGAGAGGGCGGCAGCGGCGGCAACGGATCCGGCGGGTATCCCAGTAGTTTGTACTACCACCACCAGGCGGCGGTAGCGGCGGCAGTACACAGTTTGCCTTCCAGTCCGGTCAGCAGGCCGCCCATGTCGGGTCTAGTGTGAGATCACTGAGTTCCAGAAGATGACTCACTGGGATCCGTTTGTTGGTATGATTCAACAGAATGTTCATAGGCGTCGACAGACGGTTACCGACATAATCGAGCAGGCGGCGAGACTACTCAGATGTTGTTGAAGGAACGGGTGAAGCGTCTTTTGGTTTACTTCTGTGGTCTTTGATACGGGTTTATGTGCAAACATGTCAGATTTTTATCGAACTGTGCTTCTTATTGTCGCGAAATTACAGACGGCTGTTTTTCTTCTATAAAGATTCGCACATAGATAGATACCGCTGCTATTATGCCCAGTTTCATCAAAAGAATTGATCTCAATTCAGCTCTAAAATGATTACGATTAAACGTGTTGTAATAATTCACCACATCCAATGACGGCTCGTGCCCTCAGGACCTGGGTCGGCCAGGGTAGATGCTGCTCTAGTAACTATTTCGTCAACTTAATTTTTTGTTTTTAATGAAATGATGATGAATGGCTTACCATCAGATCATACTACCACTCTTACGCTCATCATGACTATTTTTATTTTTGCTGCCAAATCTGAAGCCCGAGTGAACTATTTTCAACCACTTCAACACACAACACACCAAATAGGAGGAGCACCACAATGGCTAATAACAAGTCATTCCACTCCTTCCTGGTCAGCTGGCCGTACCTCCGTGTCAGAGGGTCCCCAAATACCACTACAGGCGTATAAATAATAAATAATATTTCAGAAGTTTCATTCACTTTCATCACCAGATCTCTTATTACGATGGTTTTTGGACTGCTGAAATCTGTTTTGCCATATTAGGCACATTACATATATTATTTTAGTTATACTTGAATTATTGCCGCTCAGAAGCGCTGAAGGTGAATCAGTACTGATTTTAATATTTATTGAATTAGGACTCGGAAAATTAAAAATAACCAGTAATTTTTACCGCAAACATGAACATGAACATCAAGGACTCATTCAATTTTCGTATACCTATTTGAAATTTATATATTTTTTTTCTTTTAGTTGGCACATTCAACATCAACATATAAAAATGAAAAATGAGTATGGAAAAAATAATCATAAATACAATATATTGCTAAAACGAAAATAGTATTAGTTTCTACGTAAAGCAGCGTTTTGACGATGTCGTAGGTCCTGAATAAGTTCGTGATTTTCGGTGAATATTTGGCTGGCTTAGTGGCTTACTCTAATGTTTCAGTGCATAAAATTTGAATAATAGTGGCATGACAGAAGCATAATAAACGATGAATATTGAAAACAGTTCCAAACAATGATTTTATTCATCAAATAGTTCAGCTTTTTTCCTCAAATTTTCGCGAGATTACAGACGGCTTTTTTGTCAAGAATCTCACATAGATATATATACCACTGCTCTTACGCCCAGTTTCATCGAAAGCATTAATCCCAATTCAACTCCAAAATGATATATCGTATTACGACATAATTCGAGTATAGTCGGTTTCGCTATATATGTTTTTTGGGGTGCTGAATCTGTATCTGAAGTTGGCAAACATAATTGTTCATATGAAGGTATGACTAATGGGTGAGGGCATGAGCAAGTTGAAAATTGAACAAATTTGCGTGCTTTTACTAAAAAGTGCAGTGTTTTATAGTCGTTTTATAGTATAGTTTTATGTCGCACCTACCTGCCGACACTCACAAATTTTCGATATAATGGCGAATAGAAATCCAGGATATGAAAAACCAAAATAAGAAACCATCTTGGTAATATATCCCAACCATACCTAATTCTTCGTTGTTTTAATTTGCTAGATTAGTATTCGTCATTATATGAAAAATTTCTCAACTTCGACAGGTAGGTGACATGAATTATTATAAAACATTGTGCACTTGCCATTTTTTTATACACCTACTAATCAAATCTCGAAAGATATGATTCGAGTGTCATATTTTATGCGCATGCGTGGTCACAACTTACACCTTAATATGAGCATTCTTTGGCGAGAGCCCTGAATCGTCTAAGCTGTAGATATTCATTGGCAATGTTGACTTGAGATCTGATGGTTTTCCATGACCATCTGTCTGTACTAGTGCAAATCACAAAAGCTTCGCAAACGCTTATCACACAGCTTCTATTCCAACAAAGCCGTATAATATGTAATAGTAGGAAAGCCGGCTGCAGATTTCCAACGTCGGAAATAATATATTTCTCAAAGGAAAGTGAAGACATTGTAATTCATCGAAAATCACCTGTGCCAATCACTATATTGAGCAAAATGATTGAAAAATTGCACTTTTCTGTGCGAAAATTTGATAACAAGATAAGAATTGACATCTGATACCAATTGGATGGTATATCTCAAAAATTTTCCAGTGTCACCCGTCAGTCTCAGGTAAATCCACATCTCAGCGATTTATTTGCTCCTATATTATTCCAGACATATTTTCGTCATGTGATAAGGAGTTGAAACAGACAGGAAATGAAAGGGAAATATGTCTCTTTTTGCGAATATCCAAGCATGCCACGATTCAAACTGATCAAAGTTAGTGGCAGTTCGTGAATATTTCGCCCTAGTCGAAAAATAATATCCGATGGACCCGTGTGAAACTTATCCCAGCGAGCACAAAAACATCTCAGAGATGTTAAAAGTACGAGATTTCGAGACATTGAACCTCCACTGCGATGTTCTGTTCACACATGAATAGAAATACTATAGAACAGCCAATGTCCGCCGCAGGCGGCAATTATCGAGATGTCCTTGATATGTCACAAAACTACCTTCTCCCTAGTTCTTTTTCAAAGCCTTTTCATGGACACAACAGAACATTTTCAACGCGTCTTGCGCACATTAAATCGCTGTAAAAAAAAACATTTTCGAGGTACTCTTCTGAAGCCTTTTGTCAAAATGAACTTTTGCATTAGGATTCCATTTCCCTTGAATGAAAAAATGCATTAGAAATGAATCGAACATAAAAATATTTTCTTGATATGAAATTACCTTCTTAATCGGTTTCTGAGTAGTGCTTACTACACACAGACATATAATTGGGAATAGGTTTCCCAATTCTTGAAATGTTCTCCACAATGCATAATTTTGCAACTGTGGAGAAGCTGTGTATTGATAAATTCGTACTTTTATATATTTATTACACTGAGGCACCTAACAACACATCTTGCATCTGATGATCATTACTACAAACTAAATAAGTCTTCTAACACAATAAACTTCACCAAATTCCTTTCTGTTCGTTAGCAGCGGGATGTAAGCGTGACACGCTGCAAACGCGAATGCCAATTGCGAACAAGAAGAACAAAATCGAAAACAAATCAGAATTCATCGTATTGTGACGTAAGCATGAGACTTTGTGGTGGGGCAAACAAAGAAAGGGCACAAAAGAACAAAAACAATACTTTCAGTATCCTTCTAAGACCTCTTTGGGAAGTGCATATTACGCCTCAAAAAAACATCCTCATGCCTACATTTCTAAAACATCCCAAAACATTTCAGGAATACCCCTCAGTAGGCAAACGAAGAAATGCCACAGAAGAACAAAAACAATACTTCAATATCCTTCAAAGACCTCTTTGGTCAGTGCATATTACGTCTCAAAATAACATCTTCATGCCAACATTTTCAAAACATCCCAAAACATCCCAGGGATGTTTGTGCTCGCTGGGATGTGGTGCTCACACTACATGTATCCTAATCCACATGTTGAGCTTCACAGTGGTCCATCGGATATTGTCTTTAGAGGGGGGCGAAATATTCTCGGAGGTATTGACGCTCTGCCACTAACATAGATCAGTTTGAATCGCGACAAGTTCGTAGTGATTGGCACAGGTGATGCCGTTCGAAGAACTAAAATGTCTTCACATGCCTTTGGGGCATATTATTATCTCGTTATCAGATGACCGTTAAAATTTGCGGCCGGCTCTTGGACTATAAAGCTGTATGATGATAGGAGTTCTATACAGTTTGATCTTTATATATGTCAAAAATCATTCAATGATTGTCCTTACCAAATTGAGTTGGAATGATGGTGAATTCAGGAAAAACCAATAAAAATAAAAATTAAAAGCTCTCACCCCTTGAAATAATTCGCTCTTCGTGACATTTCTATCTTCATCCATGGCAGCACTCCAGTGATTGAAACCAAAGAAAATGATTACTGTGATCTGTATATCATTGTGATTCCTGCTCAGGTTTGTTGCTTCGCGTTCCAGGGTAGATCAGGAATTTTATGATTCTTCAAACATTTCGAAATGGGATCCTATACAGAGTGATTCGCGTTGTTACAAAAATATGGCCACAAAAAACAAGATTTCAATGAAACGACACCAATGAATTTCATGCATTTTATATCGGTATCGATCTATGTTATTCTTTGAAGTCTATGATTATTGATTAAGAATAACTTCATTGTCGCACAAAAATTATGTGGTTTAGAGGCAGATTGATAATGAGATTGCATGATATTCTCTCTTCAAATTCCTAATTCGGAAATTAATTGTGAAATTTCAACTGGAAAAAGTATGGAAACAATATGACAGTTCCATTCTCACGATGCCTCCACATCACATGACTTTCAATTGGATGTAAATATATGATGAAATGGTTGGGAAATAATAGTTGGCTATCATGACAGAAGCTATTTCGATGCTCATAAGGCTTTCATGAAAGATATTCTCTCAAAATTTGGAATTACCCCATTGTTTTATGAATTTTGTGCGACATTTTTTATAAAGTGCAAACGTTTTCGGATGGCGAAGTAGGCGACAAATCATTGATGAGCGCCGACATACACGTGTGGCAAGTCCATTTTGCGGCCAGACCACGATTATGGTATGACACACGTGTATACGTCATCGTAGCCTTTTCCACTATTTGTGATCATTTACTATATCCATAAAGAAATCCAATTCCATAGTAATTAACTTCTGAAAGGCTGGGAATTTATTTTGATCTCTTTTTCTGCATCAATGGAAGTTCAAGTGATACATTTTCTATCTTGATGAAAAATATGTATG